TCTCAGGAACCGAAGAAGGAAGAGAAGTTCTTTATTCAGAAGCAAAGGATCTTGCTTGAAAGTCAGTGCCACTCTGTGTGTCTGTGTGTGTTTCCCTGAGTGTATCTGTGTCAGTGTGTATCCATGTGTGTCCCTGTATTTGTGTGTGCCTGTGTGTCCATTTGTATACATGTATATCTGTATATATGTCCATGTGTGTATCTGTGCGTTCATGTGTCTATGTGAGTGTTCTCAAGTGCTTTGGAGTCTATGGGTTCGTATACTCAGGCTGTGCTTTGATTGGTTGCTCCTATTATAATGAGGTGATCTGATTGGTTTCTCCTGTTATACTGAGGTATTTTGGAAGGTAACACTTTATTGTTTGGGTCCTACAGCATTCCGACTGGCTGGAGATTCCCATCCTCCCCACAGGGTCATGGATGGACAGTTTTGGGAGCCTGTACTGGGCTGGGGAGGGACAGGCAGAAAGTTCTGAACCAATACCTCTTCTGTGTCTGGTCATTTGGTAGGTCAAGATGTTGTCCAGGGGGAGGGGGCCTCACTTTTATACCTGGTCACTTCTTGTTTTGCATCTGTTTTCTCCCTTTGACTGAAAGATCCTGAGAAAAGAGTTGGAGTTGATTTTCTCCACCACAGGCTAGGCAGGAGCATGAAGGAAGCCATACATGTTTCAAGCAGGCCAGGATGAAGCCTGGGTCAGAAACTCTTGGAAGATTGAGAGATGAGCGGCAGGTGGAGCAGATCGCTTCAAGTGTGGGGATGGGCTGTAGATGTTACCATCAGACCTGAGACAGGAGGAGAGGATGGGTGAGGCACGGGTCAGTGAGAGTGGAGTACAGGCAGGGTCACATGAAGATCTCCATGCATGGAGTAGCCATGTGTATGTAAATGCCAAATGCCACCCAGCATTCAGCTTTGCTATTCCAAGACCCAAGAAAGGCATCTGAAAGAAACCCATATGTGTTTCTAGTGTATATCTGGAAACAAACAGAGGAGGAGGTGTAGCTAGTATCTCTAGTGTGTACTTGGAGACAGAGGCAGGGGAGGAGGTTCAGCTACAGTGTCTCTAGTGTGTATCTGGAGACAGAGGCAGGGAAGGAGTTGCAGCTACAGTGTCTCTATGTATAACTGCAGACAGGCAGGAAAGGAGGTGCAGCTACAGTTCCCTAATATGTATTTGGAGACAGGCAGTCAGGGAAGGAGGTGCAGCTACAGTGTCTCTAGTGTGCATCTGGAGACAGAGGCAGGGAAAGAGATGCAGTTACAGCGTCTCTAGTGTGCATCTGGAGACAGGCAGGGAAGGAGGTGCAGCTACAGTGTCTCTAGTGTGCATCTGGAGACAGAGGCAGGGAAGGAGGTGCAGCTACAGTGTCTCTATGTATAACTGCAGACAGGCAGGAAAGGAGGTGCAGCTACAGTTCTCTAATATGTATCTGGAGACAGGCAGCCAGGGAAGGAGGTGCAGCTACAGTATCTCTAGTGTGCATCTGGAGACAGAGGCAGGGAAAGAGATGCAGTTACAGCGTCTCTAGTGTGCATCTGGAGACAGGCAGGGAAGGAGAAGCAGCTATAGTGTCTCTAGTGTGTAGCTGGAGACAGGCAGGGAAGGAGAAGCAGCTATAGTGTCTCTAGTGTGCATCTGGAGACAGGCAGGGGAGGAGGTGCAGCTACAGTATGACAAGTGAACACCTGCATCCAGACTCAGCTCACTGCAGCCCTGCTCCTCCAGCAGGGCTGACGTTTGCCTGTCTCCACGGCTTGTATTTCCTGGCATGGTGAGCATCTTCTGCTTCTCCAGGGCCTATCCCCCTCCCTGACCTGTCTGGTTGCCTTGCCTTTTCTTCCTGAACCTGTCACTTGGGCTCTTTAGCACCACTCCCTGAGCCTCTGTGGTCACCTGGGGAGAAGCCAGTGACAGCAACAGAGCCGGCCACGTGGCTTCCCCAGGCTGGGACAGGCGGTGGCCAGTGCCAGCTGCCCAGATCGCATGAGGGGGAGCATGAGGTTCCCATGCTTTGCTTGAGGTAGCTACCATAGACTTTACTTCAGTCTCTACTGAGATCTAGGGCATCCAGAGAGACTTCCCTGACATTGCCCACGTTGTGCATACTGTGTCATGAGTTCTGTTTTGTTGCTTTGTGCTTTGACTCACGAGGTATCCACCATTCCAGTCTAGTGACAAAACCTGTCCTGACCCCTGGAGGGTTTCTTGTCCTCACAGCAGTCTTGTCCTGTGTGGTGACCAGCCAGGCTCCTCTGAGGGGCTGGGGAGCAGGGCATAGCCCCAGAATGGGGGTGGACACAGTGACCTGGCCAGGTGTCCCTCATCTGCACTGTGTTCTCCTCTGGGTTTAACATATAATAAAGGTTTTTGACATCTGAAATAGTAAATGTTTACTCTCCTCCCTGCCCCTTCTTTCCTATGTTGTGGGAAAGAACCATCTCTAAGTCTTAGCTGGGAGCACTTAGCTGGACTGCAGTTGCCTAGCAGCTGGGCAGCACTAGCAGGATGACACCGATGTGACCACAGATGTTTCAGCTGTCCGAGGGCAGAGTGTCTAACACAAGGATGAGTTAAAGTATGGTGATGTCGTACAGGACCCTAGACAGTAAAAGCCCTCAGGACCAGCAGACACTTAGGACAGAATGGCTTCCTAAGACTTACCTTTCAAGAAGGGAAGAGTTCAGTGTGAAGAGCTCTCAGGAGAAGCCCATGAGTGAAGATGGAGGCTGAGCACAGTAGGGAGAAAAGGACACCATGTGCAAATGAGACTGGCGAAGGCCCAGCCCACTGTGGGACCATCCCTAAGCCCAGCCTCCAAGAGTTGGGACAGAGCCAAGAGTGTGCTCATGAGAACCTGGAAGAAATACGTACAGACGTGCACTCGGACAGAGGAGATTGTCCTGGACAACTTAAGATGACAAGAGAGATGCGGGAAGTCACTTCCATGACCCAGGCCTGCACAGACCCGGCTGCTCGCCACCAGCAAGAACCTTTGCCTGCAGGTCTCAGTATCCTGTCAGAGAGAGATGAGCTGGGATCCGCAAGATGACACCCATGGCTCTGAAATGCCCTGTCCTCAAAGCCCCGGGCTCAAACACTCATTGTTGAGGCAATTACAACAGTGTGCAGTGTCAGGACTGAATGTGGCCAGTTACATTCTTCACATATGGGTAACTGTATCTCAGTTGTCTAAGTTGGCAAAATCTGAAGAGGAATTGGTGCCAGTAGATCATCACATATTTAAATAGAATATTATTTGAAAAGGAAAGCATTTCTCTGAGCAAGCCTCACACATCTATCTATTCAGACATCATCATCCTCATCATTATCATCATCATCATCATCATCATCATTTGAAGTTCAGGCATCCAAGCCAGGGCCTTCCCTGCTGGGCTACATGTCATTTCTGATGTAATTCTGTCATCATTGCTCATTACCTTTTAGGTCCTCCTCTATCTAGGCACTTACGTAACCATACAAATATTCATTTGCTCATTTGTTTATTCTGAGAAACTTTTGTGTGTCAGATACACTATTAAGAATAATTGTTAAAGTTGTCATGTCCAAAACGAGCTTTACAACGTCGGTGCGGGGGGGGGGGGAAGGAGAAAGATTGGGATTGGGGGGGAAGGGGGAGGCTGGGAAGGGATGTGAAGGGTAAACAAAGGAGGAGGCTGCAATGCTTGGTAAGAAATGTACGCATTATCCTGCCCATGTAATTGTAACTCCTCTGTACAATATGTTCACAAATAAAATTAAATTAAATTAAAAAAAAAGAATAATTGTTAGCATGCACCTATAATCCTAGCTGCTCAGGAAGCTGAGATCAAAGCCAGCCTGGGCAGGAAAGTCCATGAAACTCTTATCTCCAATTAAGCACCAAAAATAAAAAATAAGCTAGAAGTGGAGCCATGGCTCCACTCAAGGAGCTGTACAAGTAGTAGAGTGTTAACCTTGAGTAAAAAAGCTCAGGGACAGTGCCCTGGCCCAGAATTCAAGAACCGGGACTGGCACACACATACAACCCAAGAATGGTTGTTACAGATAATAAAAAGACTTTGTATGTATGCACGTATGTGTGCATGTACACAGAGGCACAGATATGAGTATATACAGGTACAATCCTTTATTGTTTAAAATTCTTAAATATCAAGAATATTGGCAGGACTTCTTTGGTGTGCTTGTGTTTATAGGCAATTCCAAATGACTGTATGTATTTCATTTTTTTAAATTATTGTTAACTGGGGCTGGGAAGGTGGCTCAGTGGTAGAGCGCTTGCCTTGCATGCTCGAGGCCCTGGGTTCGATTCCTCAGCACCACATAAGCAAAAAGAAAAAAAAAGCCGGAAGTGGCACTGTGGCTCAAGTGGTAGAGTGCTAGCCTTGAGCTGAAGAGCTGAGGGACAGCGCCCAGGCCCAGAGTTCAGGCCCCACAACCGGACCCAAAAAATAAATAAATAAATTATTGTTAACTGCACAAAGGGGTAAATGCCGACTCAGCACGTCAGTCCACTAGGACGGCGTATCTTGATTGTCACCACCTCTGCCCTCGTTCTCCCCTTCAGCCCATCCCAAATTACCTTTATAAAAACAAGCCACTGAGACCATTTGCAGACAGCAATGTGCAACCTGTGGACTCTTGCTTCTGAGAATGTCCCTAACATTTCAGTAAATAATATACTTCAAAAAAGATAGAAGAGCCAGGCAGATCTCAGGATGACAGCTTAAAGCCAGCCTGGGCTGAAAAGTCTCTGAGACTCATTTTCAACTAACCATCGTGAACATGGAGCTATGGCTCAAGTAGTAGAACTCCAGCCTTGAGTGAAAAAGCCATGTGAAAGCAGAAAGCCCTGCGCTGAAGCCCCAATGCAAGGACACACACACACACATATACCATGTGCACACACACAAGAACTCTACAGTTTGAGGTGCATTTGTGGAGTGTTGATTTAGGAAAATAAATCCTGCTGACATTCGGTGTGTGTTCTAAATTGCAGCACCTTACGAAATCTGCCCAGAGGACTATCTAATCTCCATGGTGTGGAGGCGGACCCCAGCAGGAGACCTGGCATTCAATCAGTGTCCGCTGAACGCAACAGGTACAGTGGAACCAAGCCCATGGAGAGCCTGGCTTCCCCATGCTCCCTCTGACCAGAGCCATGCACACATCTGTCCCCTAAGCAGCGGATGAAGCTTGTCATAAACAGCCTCGTAAGTCGAGCCTAGGAAGAGAATCAGAAAATATCACCGATGCCATGATTTCTCAATGTGATTCAGGCACCTTATAAACGTAGTTGAAACAGCAGTTTCCAGTGCTTTTCTTAAAGGGAAAGCTGTGTAAGCCCCTTTCCACCTGCCTTTCAGTGACCTGGAGCTGCTCTGTGTCCTCTCTGACCCCCTCCGTCCTCTCCCACCCCCTCTGTCCTCTCACCACCAGCATCCTCTCTGACCCTCTCTGACCCTCTCTGTCCTCTCCGACCCGCAGGCACCACCAGCCGCCGCTGCTCCCTCAGTCTCCAGGGAGTGGCCTTCTGGGAGCAGCCAAGCTTCGCACGCTGCATCTCCAACGACTACCGGCTCCTGCAGCATTCGGTAGGTACTGCCCTCGGCCTTATTCACTCTGCACGTTTTTTTTTTGCCAAGTTTGCTGCATGAAATTTTAACCTTCTGGTGGACAATGAAATTAGTGAGATCTCTGAGGGGAAAAAAAAGCCCAGTGGTCAGAAAGCAAGAGAACAGAAAGAGCCAGGTTATGAAGGCCAGGTCTAGTGTCGGGTTTATGAGTCCTATTTAAATGAACAAATAAATTTCCTTTCTAATCTAGGGAAGGGCTAAGCAAAACCTGGTGTTCAATTTTATCAGTAAGGGTAGAACTCTGTATTCTGATCAAATCTACTCTGTGTTAAATACTGCATGCCTTGTTTCCCCAAAGAATGCATTTTTAAATGAAAACTTGGAGCTTTTCAGGGGGCGAGATTTGATGAAGCTGTCATGCAGGTGTCAAATTTGGTTCACTGACCCTGAGAAACTTAATTACTCACAAAAGATGACCGGGCTTAAGCTTGCAAAAACAGCTGCTCTTTCCCTCTCAGCACTGAGCCTTCCCGAGTCTGATGTCTGGGTGTTTGGAGCAGGGTTACATTTTGTTTGGAAGTTTCCAAGTGGGAGTCATGTCACTATCAGAGACCGCTGTCATCCCCCCCCCAGGGCCACCAGGGAAGCTTCACACCCTGGAGCGCCGAATCACTGGGCAGCACAGGCCAGCCCAGAGCCACAAGGAGCACCAGAGTGGGCAGGACAGTGTCTAATTGGCAGGTGTGCTTGTATGTGTTTTTACTGTAAAGTGAGGTACAGACGGGTTATAGGTATATGAGTCAGGTAATCACTTTCCTCATTTTCTCCCAGTGTTTCCCTTCCAAGCCTTTGTCTCTTACGTTCCTTCTCATGGTCAGACGTGTCTTCAGGCCTTGCACACTTGACGGTCTTTAGTGGTGTGTCACACTAAGGCAGATGCAGACCTTGGGACTGCACTGTCATTCAGCAGACAGTGGCCCTGTCTGCAGTTCCTCAACCGTGCCAGAGGACAAGCATTTCAGTCCAGTCAGGGACTGAGCGCTTGGGCCTGGGTGTAGGCAGCCTGTAGTTACTGTGCGGAATCCCTGAGATAATCCACAGGAAAAGAAGAAAGGTTTACTTTGGCTCCAAGTTTAAATCATAACTGATACAGACAATTGCCTGTGGCATGGGTCTAATCATGTCATGATGGGAGCCATTTCATGGTGGCCAGGAAGTGAAGAAGGAGGAGGCCATGTCCCTACATTCCACACAAGGAGGAGGATGGGATGCCTTTTACATGGGCCTCACAGCAGACGGCCTCATTTTCTCTGCGAGCTCTTAGCTCTGTGTGAGCACCTGCTGTCCATTCAGTGAGCCTCCAGAAACTGGAAATCTCAGTCTCATGCTCCACAGGCCCCGACAGTGATCTGCTGACCCATCAAGCGAGACATTCTTACCCTAAATGTTTCACTTCCTAAACTCCTCAGCTTCCCACACAGGGAGAATACTCAACAGCACTTTTAGAACCTCATAAGCGTCCAAGATACTTGTTCAGCCGTAGGCCCCCAAAGTCAGTCTCCTCCTAGGCCAGTCTTGCTCTCAATTACCTGGCTTTTTCCCCCTTCCTCCTTATTTCTTTCCCTCCCTCCTTCCTCTTTTCCTCCCTCATACATTGCTTTTTATTATTTGTGTAAATATAAGCTCTCTATCTTAAAAATACAAGCACTTAAGAAGTGTACATATTCTAAGGGGCTGAGAATGTGGCCTAGTGGTAGAGTGCTTGCCTAGCATGCATGAAGCCTTGTGTTCAATTCCTCAGTACCACATACACAGAAGTGGCACTGTGGCTCAAGTGGTAGAGTGTTAGCCTTGAGCAAATAAAGCTCAGAGAGAGTGCCCAGGACTGGCAAAAAAAAAAAAAGAAGTGTACATATTCTAGTCAGGTACTCCACACCTCTAACCCTGAAGTACACATATTCTAGAACCAAAATTGTATCTTTATTTTTCCATACCGGCATTATCTGTGCTTTCCCTTGAAACACAGGGTAGGTGTTAATAGTAGAATACCATCATTAAGTGAATGACTTGCTATTACCTGCTGACAGAGTTCAAAAATGCATGGCTTTCTGACCAGAAGCTGCATATATTATTATCTGTTCATTGATGCCCCTCAGCACTGTGAGCATTTCTCTGTCCCCTTTCACATTGAACATGAGTTATACAGAAACTTAGGAATTGGACTTTGTAGAAAAAAATGGTCAGAGAGGGTTGAAATCTGGTCAGAATCATCATTGAGGCTTGTCACGTCAAATGGAAACCTATAAACTATAAAACTATTTTTATTATTAACTATATATTTCTATTGTAAAGATACTGTACAGAGGGGTTACAGTTACATGAGTAAGGTTATAAGTACAGTTCCTATGGAGCATTGTTACCTCATCGTTTGTTTTCTCCTACCATCCCTTCCCTCCCCAATTCCTCAACTCCTCTCTCCCCCTTCCCTTCTATTCCCCGCTGCTCCAAAGTTGTAAAGTTTGTTTCCAACATAGTGTCTTGTACATCTCATTGTTACAATGGGTCAACCTATATCCTTATTTCAGCATTTTGTTATTTCCTTTCCCCTCCCCAAATTAGAAAATATGCATATACAAGATGCAGGGCACCAGAATCAAATACAGTGAAAACGGGTTATACCATGGGGGAAAAACATACAAAAGAAACAAAAAAAAACACATAGCACATTATAAGTACATCAAAAACAACAGCAACGAAGATAAAATCTCTTGTGTTCCTATCTTGGGCTTCATTTTGCTTAGCATCATCTTATATGTTCATATGTACATAGCTTTTGACATTTGCTGCTTGTCCTAGACATAAACTAGTTATTGCAGATAAGGAAAACGATGGGACCTATGTTTCTTTGGGTCTGGCTTACTTTACTTAATATAATATTTTCCAAGTCTTTCCATTTCCTAACAAATGGGGCGGTGTCATTCTTCCTGATAGAGGCATAGAATTCACGTGTGTGTGTGTGTGTGTGTGTGTGTGTGTGTGTGTGTGTGTATCTCGCATTTTCTTGATCCATTCATCTACTAAGGGGCATCTGGGTTGTTTCCATAACTTAGTTATGGTAAATAATGCTGCGATAGACATAGTTGTGCTATTAGCTTTAGTATGGCCTTGTCTGTGATCGTTTGGGTAAAATGCCCAGAAGTGGGATTGCTGGGTCATTGGGGAGCTCTATGTGGAATCTTTTGAGGAACCTCCATACTGCTTTCCAGAGTGGTTGAAGAACAAGTTTACACTCCTACCAACTATGCAGTAGGGTTCCCTTTTGGCCACATCCCCTCCAGCATCTGTTGTTATTAGAGTTTCTTGATTATAGCCATTCTAACTGGGGTGAGGGAATCTCAAGGTTGTTTTGATTTGCATTTCTTTTATGGCTAGAGAGGTTGAGCATTTCTTCATGTGTCAAACTCTAAAACTATTTTTGACACAGAGCCTGTGGCTCGCACTTCTAATCTTAGCAACTCAGGAGGCTGAGATCTGAGAATCAAAACTTGGAGCCAGTCAGGGCAGCATGTCCACGAGACTCTTCAATTAACTAGCAAAAAGCCAGAGCACAAACCAAGTTCTACATGAATCCTGAAGGGTTTTCTCCCCAATTGAATAAAACTACTACATTAAAAAGGTATGTCTGGGAAAATCTAAAGACTTACTGTGGTTAGACTCAAGAAGAAATGTGGATTTGGTAAACTAGTGCCTATGGTTTTAACTTATGTTGGATATATTAGGATATATAAGGATTTTATTAATGTTGATTTTCTTGTGCCAAGAATCCAGAATTGTCACTTACATGTGCAGAAAGCTATGAACTCTGCTTCCAAAGTTATTTGATTTTCTTGATGTTTGAATGTTATTTTTTACAAGTATAAAGATTGGAAAATACAAATATTCTTAACATCAAATAATCTTATAGAATTGGTAAATGTTTTGGGTTTCTTTCAGTCGTGGGGCTTGAACTCTGGGCTTGGCCGCTGTCCCTCAGCTCTTTAGCTCAAGGTTAGCCCTCTACCACATAAGCCAATGTGCCACTTCCAGTTTTCTGAGTGGTTTATTGGAGATAAGAGTCTCACTGGAGTTTCCCTCCCGACCTGGCTTTCAACCGCTATCCTCAGATCCCAGCCTCCTGAATAGTTAGGATTACAGGTTTAAGCCACTGGCGCTGGCTTTGGTGAATGGTTTTGAAACATTCACATATCATAACAGTGTTAATTCAAGCACTTGACCCCACCCACCTCATCTACTAAGTTGCTCCAAGCCATTCTCTTCTTTCTTTGTGTGCAAAGGACATTTCCTTCAAACATCGGAGCTGAGAATCATTTCTAAATATTTAACTATCTTCACAAATTTTAGCGGTGTTTTGACTCAGGGCCTCGCACTTGCTGGGCAGGTGCTTGACCACCTGAGCCATACTCCCACCCTGTTCTTGCATTGATTCTTTTTGAGGTAGGATCTTGATTTGTGCCTGGCCTCTGACCCTCCTACTCACTCTTTCCTGTGTCAGTGAGGACAGTGGGCAGGTGCACTGCAGCAGCTATGGGGTGAGATGGGGGGGTCTCACAAATTTTTATGCCCAGGCTGACAGTGAACTACTATCTTCCTCCTGGGTACCTAGGATTACAGGCTTGAGCCACTGCACCTGTACATATTTTGGTCATTTTTAAGAGAAGTATTATATACAGCCTGAGTTCATCCCTGGAGTAGTTAAGCAGATAGACTACAATCAGGACTGCCTTGGCTCAAATCTTGGTATACCTACGCTCTGGGAGCTCGGCACTAGGGAATGCACCCTGACCAGTCTTGGTGCCAGTGAAGATAACTTAAAAACCCACACCTGCCACATACCTCACGTGACATGCATGGTCTCTGACTACAACATGTGAGGTATTTAGCAAAGGTAGCATTTTATGTTGCTAGTCTCTGGAGGTAGAAATTATGTAACTTTAGATGTTTAAAATTTCTGAAATCAC